AGCGTCGAGGCCTGTGACGATGTGGGAGAGGAGAATGAGGGAACGTCGAAGAAACGCAGCAAGAACTTTGGGAACCCGTTGGCGGTGTGGCCGTCAGGGCCTATGGCGACGTCAAAGAGGAGATTAAGGGAACGCCAAGGAAACACTGCAAGAACTTTACGAACACTGCTCTAATACCAAATGATAAAACTCTAGGAATTTATCTAAGAAAATAGATAGGGATTTGATCACTTCAAGAGGATCAACCTCCAACTGGCCAAAGGCTTTGAGTTGTATTTAATTGCTTGAGAAAAATAGCTAAAGACATTATATATATATATATATATATATATATATATATATATATATGTATATATATATATAAAATCCTTAATCAACTAGGACTATGATTTCTAATAAAGGAAATAAATAAAAATAGCAATCCTTAATTGGCTATATCAAAGGACTCCTACCATAATTAGGAAAACTCAAAACTAAATAAGAATAGAAAAATAAAGACTAATATCAAATCCTTAAAATTAAGGAATCCTAATAAGGAGCTGGACTAGGCACTAGGCTGAATAGGTAAATTACATGATCATAATCAAACATGGACAACTTAAATGCAAATCCACATAGTAATGCTACTACTTGCAATTTTATAGTTTCCTAATGACATAAATCTAATGCATACAGCTCCAACCAATATGAGGTCTAGGTGGGCCAATATGCACGACCTTATCCTCAAAAGAAAAGAGGTTGTCTCCCTGACTTAAATGCTCGGCGATCAGGTTGCGAAGGAGAAATTTCATGATACCATCAAGGTTTTCCTCTGGTTTTGTTTTTACTAATTTCTCCAAATTTGTCATTAAGAATGACTGACATAAATAAACATACGAGATATAAGTTTCTAGCTTGCTACACAATTTAATAAAGACCAGATATTTTCAATACTATATTGATGGTAGGTTATTAAAGATTGGCATTCTCAAATCACCTGCACCATTGGAAATTCCGGTGAAGTATATGTCCAGCAATATTTGTCATCAAGAGATGATTGATGTCCTGCACACTCATTTGTGATAGAAGTACTTTTTCCATGTGCTGATCTGGAATAGCCCATCCGAAAACGTACAGATTTGGCAGAGTAGATGGGATGACCATACTGAAAAAATGCTGAATAAAAAGGCCAATTAAACATAATCGCTGAGAAAGAACATTGACAATAGGAAATGTCACAAAGACAAACCTCTGAATGGCTGTATCTTTATCTCCTCGACGATACAGATATTTGCAACCAGCCTGTACGTCAGACTCTCCGGTACTCCAGGATTTCTCTGTCCCCCACTCGACCAATAAGAAGGCCTACGGTCCACCATTTCACTGGGTTCTAAAGTATTCTCAATGCTCTCATCTGGAAAATTATCGGTGCTGGAAGCACAGATCGCCTGATTAATGCAGTCTCTTTTACCTTTAGGTGAACCAAGACAATGACCTAAGTACAGATACACTCGGTGTTCTCTCCCCAGGTTTTCCAATTCAGCAACAGCACTAGATCCTACTTCTGTAGTCTTGGAACTGCTACTTACTTCAGCAACGCGAGCAAAATTTGACACCTCAGGAAAAATCCTTAAGCATAAACTTTTGCCAAAACTATTTGCAATAACTGCAATATATGTTGAACTGCTGCTTCAGAATTAAATATGAATATAAAATTCTATCACATAAGACCATGATTCTCAGTACTAAATGTGCAGTGTTGCAAATAAAGTAGTTATGGAAAACAATTATTGACTGTGCATTACAAATTAAGGTAATTACAGAAAACAATGTCAACTTTATTGAGTGAAAAAATAACATAGAACATGTTTGCTTAAGGTCCTAGTCAAGACTTTTAAATCTAGATCCATGTAAAAAAGGGCTTCAAGTCAATTTGGATTGTATTTTTCACACTATCAAGTGGGATAAAGGAAAATTTTCAGACCTGACAGAGAGTTTTGGCTAGGAGACTTTAGTCCTACAGAAACATATAGTAATATGTTACTGGTCAAAACTTTCACAAAAATAATTAAATCCAACCATTTAACAAAATTGCTATTATCCCATTTTCACAAGATAAAAATTTTAGTGTATTAGGGCAAGTCCAACATAAGTTGCCATGTGTTGGCCACACATTAGCAAAAAGTTGAATGCTTGATGCTTTATTGAATGGGTTATTGTAGGCCACCAAGCCATTGTTACCTAACTTCTGTCTCTATCCTTCTCCCCTCTCTTATCCTGCAGACATAAACCTCTTCTCCTGATTTTCCTTGTAACTCTGCAGCTAGCATACAGTTGTTATTGTTTCAACTACACATAGTTTGTAGTAGAAGACCCACTCTTGCTAGAACTAGCTCCTTACTTAGGGTGCACTAAGCTGTCCACAAGTGAGCCATCTGCAAGCCTTTTTGTAGGGGACTTGTGATTTAAAATGCCACATATTGCATTGACAAATTAGGTTGCAAGCCAAAATTAAATTTCGATACCCCTTCCCCATCATGTTGCCTCCTTACATGTTGTCTCCATCTCATCCTCTTAACTTAACCTGCACAGTCACTGGTGCCTCCTTCCTTTCAAGCACCGATCTACATCTTCTCCGTCTTAGTTGAAACTTCAAAACAATTATATACCATGCGGATCCAAATGGCTGTGTCTGCAACTATCAATTATATCATCTGCTCTTCTCTGTAACTGCTACTTCCAGCCATTTCTAATTGCAAGCCCCACTTTGTGAAACCACAAGAATCCTATCATCAAGTGTTACATTTCTTCAATAATTTGGGTGCCTTATTATCCTTTTAGTCTCAAAATCTAACAGTCTAGTTAAATGGAGAAGAATCACCGTTATGATGCCTTAGACCACTATTACCTGAAGAAGAAGAAAAAAAATATTTTCTAGATAACGTGATCTCCTATCACTTATTTACATAATTACACTTAGTAAAGTGATTACAATAAAATATTTGCTTCCTAAGCTACGAAGACATATCGATCATATATCAAAAGTCATCTTTGAGAAACTTCTCGAACTTGAGGTGTTCAGCGAGCACCCTGAGGTGATAATATCCGGCCATTCTTTTGCCTGTAAATTTTGAACTACTTCTAGGTCAGAGAAAACCTCAATTGAACAAAATGATCAAAATTAACGAACGAAATAACATCACTACGTCTTCCCCATCCATCACCTTCCAACAAACAACAATCATGATCGATTCTATTGGCGGCACAGAAAACGGCGACTCACCAAACTGGCGCCAGGATTGGGACACGGCGCTGACCCGCACGAGATCAGCCGGATCATCCAGGAGCATGAGAACCGCCGTGGAGGCGTCCGGTCCCAGCCATTCCAAGAAATCCCAGCGACCCTCCATCGCGAACGACCAGCTCCCCGCGACTCAACCCAATCGTACCCAAAAGGACGAATTGGAGAGAAGGGCGAGGAATTTTACCGGGAGATGGCGTTGAAGCAGATCCAGGGAGAGGGACGAGCGGCGAGGGAGGAGAAGCCCTACACCGGAGCGAGAGATCATGAATCCTCGAGAGATCGCGAGAGAGGCGACGGGAGAGAAGACGAATGAGGGTTTACAGCGCGCCTTTTATCGTCACGGAAACTTTCGCGTAAATTCGGCGTCAATTACCGAAATATCAAATATGCTTACTCCTCGTTGGAAACAGTATTCTTATGTTCGATCATGTGACTCCATCTGATCAAGATCATAAAATATACGGTTGGGATTTAACTAAGCACATCGGGAAAGTAAGTTGCAAGAGTTTCCTACCTTAGCACCTAAATTACGTACGTATCCCTAATGACGTATTCGAACACAATGCATATCCACATAAATTAATGTTTTATTGTGCTCCTATTAATTCGAATACTTATTTTATTACACTAATGAAGATTTAATTTCGCCATAATAATTAGCACCTTAAAATTTACAATTTTGGGATCATTTCCTAATTAATAAATATAAAAACAAAGTTTGCCACTAAAGAAAATGATTTGGTGTTCAACAATCCCTAAATATTTGGATCGCCTGATCCCAAAATTGTGTGTCCACTATCCAACATGAATGGATAAGGACGAACATAAATGTATAAATTAAGAAAATAATTATTTAAGGTAGAGAGTGTTCATTGTTTATTCTTTCAGATTAGAAGCCCTCACCAAATCTTTCTATTTTCTTATTGCAACAGTAGTTGGCTAATTGATACCACCATGAATGATTCTGACTGAACAAACACTGAGCTCATGAATTCACAAGTGATCCACATATAAGCAGGTTTATGTTCAGTTCCTATTTCAAATCCAAAGAATATAACATCATCTCAAATCATGTATGCAATATTTCAGTCAAATGCTCCATTTTCTGAACTCGCAGATGATTTCATTGAAACAAAACATTGCTTGTGATGAAATGAATAGAAGATAAGAACAATTATTGAAGAAGCTTTATGGAAGAAGTGAAGAAACTTTATTGAAGAAATGAAAATACTTCAATATATTAACATTCCTTGATTGATCGTGGAGCCTCTTAGGAATGTGACTACAACGGCGTTGGTTGCTGGCCGAAGACAAGGGCAAAGCGACATTGGTTGCTGGCCAAAAGTAAGAGCGAAGTTTCGCTTTTCTCACTGCTTTGATACCATGATGAAAAGAATATAAGATAAAACTAATTATTGAAGAAGCTTTATTAAAGAAGTGAAAAAGCTTTATTGAAGAAATGAAAATACTTCAATACATTAAAATGTTCCCTCTCCTATTATACAGATTTCCTCATATAATTGAGTAAATTTTATCTTCTATCAGCTTGCACTCCACAACATCTTATTGTACTTCCTGATGTCAAATGATGGGAAAAGTAGAAATAAAAATAAATTTCATATTTTTTTGTTACTGAAAGCATCAAAATAAGAGAGGCTGAATGCATATCCACGTTAGTTCCATTTCCAGCTTGAAGGTGTAAGGATCGCCAAAATTATACCATAATTCCAAATCACACATTCAAATATTTCCAACAAAAGCTTCATTTTGATGCTTCTGACAGTCCACAAGACATCACCAAGTTCGTCGTTTTCGCTCGATCTGAGATGAGTATATACATTACTTGCTGACTACATATCCTCCTATTTTGACAGCTTCAGCTTAGTCTCTATGTTATCCTGTCAGTGGTAAAGACCTTCCCCTGTCTAAATCCCTTAGGATATATCAACACAGAATCAACACAAAGGCCGCCTTTGGTGTGCGTACAGTCAACTTGTCTCATGGAGAACTTAAGGGTGGTGGACTCATCAGAATTCTCTACGACAAAATCACCAGCATGGTAAAGGATCCAGCTCCCAGGCTTCCCTAGATAGCATTTAGATCCAACATGCTGACCATCGGATGTCGATAGTTGAAACCGCACCGGCTTTCTGTCCCACCCATGGACATGTTTGGAGATACAAATCCTACGGCCAAGTCGCTTTGCGGCACACCCTAAATGGAGCCGGAAGAATAAGCTGTAGGCACCAGCCGGGAAGCAGAATTTGATTTCTCCATCTACCTCAAACCACCAAGTTTGCTGGAGATATGCAACCGAGTGGTATCTGCAAAGCAACATGTTTCATTTAGTATTCATTTCTTCAAAATATGCATGTATTTAGCTTGCTATGTTCCTAACTACATCATACTTGCAACTGAAAATTCTCTCAATTTGAATCAATGTTTTGGCAGTAGTTAAAATCCAGGCTACTACTACCCATTTTCTCCTGCCATAGAAAGTGTTTCATGTTCAGCAGCCTAATAGATGCTGAATCTAAAGTTGGGAGTTTTCAGGCTTAGAATACACCCCTGACAAAAGATCCATATTTAAACATCAAGCAGAGGGGATTTAAGGATCAGAATACCAAATTTACATGGCACTGAATGGTTTCTCAGTCCGATTATCTCCGCTATTTCAACTCAATAAATAACAATCTATGATCAACTGATGAAGTTATTGATCTCATTGCAAAGAAAAGAAAAGGCAAAGGTCATTAATATTTAAGATCAGATGGTATGATACCGAGACTCCTCAGTAGGAATGTAATTCCAGTATCTGTGATCATCGATCCCCATAATCAGCAAGGCCCTCGAGGGAATCGACATACAAAGCCCACCACAGCTCTTCTCCAGCCAAAATTCCTATAATCCAGAAAAGAAGAAACTTTTAGGTGAAATCTAATAGCACACGCATCTCTACAATCCAATAACATGAAACAAATTAGCAGACACCGCATCAAATCCAGAATAAGATAACAAAAATCACTAGCATTCATTCAATGGAATCATTCTTCGAAATCATCATTGAGATGCAATTAACTCGATGGCGTTAAAATCTTGGATCTTATCAGTACAATCCAACCAAAGGACAAAAACCTTGGTACCACCGTCGAAGGGATTCGGCCGACACAACCGCGCGTAGATCTCCTTCTTGCAAAGACGCCTCCTTTGTTCGACGGCATTCTCGTCCGAAACCAACGCTAACAGAGAGCGGTAATTCCTAGGAAGCTTCGTCTCCCACACCAAGTCGGCGGAGGCCGCCCCCCGGAACGTCCGGCAAAGCCGAGCCGCCCGGCAGATCTCCAGAGGGTCGAGGTGGACGAGCACGGCGGCGACGCAGTTCTCCGGGAGGTCGCCGAGCCCCGTCTCGCGGCCCATGACACTCGACACCCTGGCGCCCATTGCCGCGGAGATCCACAAACCCCAACTGAGACTAATCCGATCGATTCCAAGCTCGCGAGGCCGACTAGGCCTAACCGGACGTCAACGTCCGGGACGGCGAAACACGCGGAAAAATCACGGCTTTGGATGGAAGCGGCGAGGAGGGCGACCGATCGCGGTTTCTTGGATCGGCCGACGGAGAAGTGACAGGACAAACGCGTCGCCAAAACGCGGGGAGGGATCCTTCGGTGACTCCTCCGGTGCAGACGAGCGAGAGGGAGAGTGTGCTGTGCCCATAAAAAGGCGGCGCCGTTTGGCATTTATTAGATTGACTAAATTGCCCCTTAGCTGTCGGCCTTCAATTGAAGCTCGCGTCTTTGGATAACTTATTTTATCTCGTTTTTAATTTTATAATACCAAAATAATTTTTGGAATATTGATTCATAATTACGAATATTCTTTTATTCTTGATATTTATTTCAAGCATCATTACCTGTCCATTAGAAAGTAGGCGATCGCCAATTAATGCAACAAGTTGGCAACCAGCCACTAATTACATATTATTTTTTTTAACTAATTATCTTTAATATTTTGATCTTTATATTTTAAAATTTATATATTAAAAATAAAATATTTAATTTTATTTTTTTATATCATTTAGTTTTATTAATAAAAATATCATAAAATTTACCGTCGAGTACATGCTAATTTTGTCTCATTTTGATTCATCACTGAGTATATACGATATTTTTTTTCATAAAATCGATTATGTAAAAAGAAATAAGATTAAGTGTTTCACTTTCATAAGTATAGGATCTCAATATAACTTTTAAAAATATAAGAATTGAGATACTAAATATAATTAATTATAAAAATAATGTATAATTAACCCTTAAAAAATATATCAAATATAAGAGAGACACCTATTTATAATACCACCATAAAGATATGTGATTAGCAAAAACAATATTTGTTGTATCAACCTTAATTCGGAGATAACATTACGAGTTAGGTGTTAATATGATAAATATTAATCGTATATTTTAATAAGATTGATTGAAAATATTTGTCAAGCTCATCTTTGCTGTCTTGAGAGGAATCGATAAGTACGATTTGAGCCCAAGATTGCAACATTGCTGATATTTTTGGCCGATTAATATTGCTAGCTTCATGTTTCCTCGTATCATAACGGCTCGTTACAATAACGAAGAAAACGAAAGATGAGAGGACTGATGTTTGAAGTCTTTCAACGATGCCTTCAAACATTGGACGGACTTTTTGATATCGCCATTAAAGTATTCCAAATTATATTCTTCACAACATGAATTAGGTAACTAAAAGACAAAGTTATATATAAAATATCATTTCAACAATAGTAGAAGACAAAGTGAGTGTAAATGACGGAAGGCCTCAATGCATAATTTAAGAATGGATCATTAAAAATAATAACGCAAGTGTAATTATTACACTTAGTTTAATCGATGATGTCATGATCTAAGTCGATCATACTGCTTCGTGTTGATGTCTTATTCACTCACCTCATTCTAAACCAATTCATATACCCTTTAATCAAATCTTCATGAAGTATTAATGTATAGTTCGATAAATTTCATTTTCCGATATATAGAGAATATCATGTCATGATTTTTTTTTTATGTCACAATCTTCTCGACTTACCTATTGTTACAAAAAAAAGTTAATACATTTCAACTGAGATATATAATCAAATAATACATAATAAAATTAATCAAAGGAATCCATAGCAATATTTAGTCCAAAATTTATGTTGAAATATAATTGGTTGTAGTTCTTTCTATGAGTATGATCATATAGAATCCTTGAAGATATTTTAATGCTAATATGTAAATAAAATAAAATTGAAAACATAAGAAAAATGTTGTGAAAAATGTAATTTTAAAGTAATAAAAGTATAATAATAATAATAAAATCGTCCCTTAGTCGTTGAAGCAAGAAGGAGGCTTTGGGAATCTCTTCTGCCCAAAAGTTCCTCCACAAAAATTAGATTTATACTAAAAAATAAGAAAAAAAAAGAAAAAAAATTAAGTACAGCACATGAAAATAGATTTTATCTAACCATCGCTTTACTCAATAAACCTTAAGATATAGAGTTAGAAGGAAAAAGAATTTGTCTTCACTCGTATATATAAATTTGAAGTTTTGACATTAACATTCATCATTTAAGTCTTAGGTTACCTTTTAATTAGGTTTATAAATTTTAAATATCTTTTTTTATTTTTTTTAAGCTAAATATTAAATTAGATTTTAATTTGATTAAATTAGCTTGGATAAGCATATGTAAAAAAAATCTCTGGAAGCAATCTAAGGGGGTTTCGAATGTCGATCTAGTACTGACATACACGAAGATCAATGTTAAGTAGGATTTTTCGACATGACTATTCAGACGCTTAAGTCAACAAGGAATTACAGTGAAAGTTATAAGTAAACAATGACTAATCTTCGTTATTATGGTATGATAGATTATTCATATTTTTATATTAGATTGATATCGATCATTGATTAAAACTATAATCTCGTTATATTGATTAGACTAGCATATATCGAACCCTAACAAGGAAAATAAGAGTAAATTTTGCTCGATGTGAATGAAGACTACATTAGCATATTCATTTGTGTGATATAGGCTTGGCTTTCTCCACCTCAAAGACACAATTTCCTCGACAATTAGTTCAATGTTAGATATACATATCATCTTAAGAATCGTGAATTAGTATTTATAGGTTCTTGATTATATATATATATATATATATAGTGGGAGGATTGGCATCAGATCACGTTGGCATATGGTTCGATTCGCATAAATAATTTTATGATTTTTATTCCTTGTCGTTAAAGGGTGCATTTACAAGATTAGTTTAGAAAGTGGATAGCTTTTTGTTTTCTTGGATGGATATATATTGTATCCTTCTAAAGCTTGGAATTGGCATATGTCATGTAACAAATATGCCCTCAAGCATGTTGACATTCACGTAGTCCATTTTATTGGAATTGCATAAAATATTTAAAATAATTTCGTGTTTTTTTTATTGTTGTTGAATTAATATATAGTGATAAATCAATCGAAGGGCCAATCCGATCGTTAGAAATGACTAAATTTAGAACACTTAGATGATTTGCTAATCGATTGATAACTTTATTCCACTTACCAAAAACATGAAAAAACTGTAAATTCATCAAATTGAAGCATATGGAAAAAAAAATATCCATAATAATAACGATGAAAACGTGTCAAAGTGATTGACCATATTCGACCTGAGTAGTGCAGCATCCAAGCCATCTCTCTCTCTCTCTCTCTCTACAAAAATGTTCTGTCAATTCTCTGAGTGCTTTATTCTCGTATCTAAATTGAGCTTCTAAATCACATTTTGACTTGTGCGCATCTTTCTTTTGAAGCACAAAAAGACCTTTGTTCCTCGAGCATTCAAAACAAAAGTTACATGTCAGGGATCGGTATCATCCCCAAAAAAATGGGAACAAAAACACCTCTGGAACTTGTTTCTATCAGTCAGTTCATTGCCAACCCTCTATGGTAATAGGATAAGCAGCTTCATAGATTCATTTTGGAGTCCATAAATTTAACGAATCCATTTTGAGTTCCCCCACCCTCACTAGGTAGCAGCATCATTGACCATCTCATCCTTGCCCATAAATAAGATGCTCTATCAACTTGCTAGAAGAATATTTAGAAGAGCTGCGGCCATGGAAATGAGCACCTGACAGTAGTCAATAAATAATATATATACATATAATATGTCGTAAGTTAATATTTGGTTGTACGATTTTATAGATTCACGAGTAATTATTTGTTTTGAATATATCTGCATGATTTTATATTTTCGGAACTCATGAACTTCAAAAAGTACTTTTGCGGATAAGAATGACTCGGAGAGGCTTATAAATGATTGATTATTCTTCTCTTTAATCAATGTGAAACTAAATATTTTTATCGGAAAGTGAAAGGCTGAAGATACATTATATAAAAACATCACCAATGGTCACCTGATATATTTAGAATGTCCTCCGTAGGACAACAAATAATAAGAGAAAATTTATCCTATCGGTAAAATTATTTTTCCTAGCTTTTCTAGTAGTCTACCATAAAATTTTCGCTTAGAGAATATTTCTTCTATAGATCGAAAAGTTAGCTAAAAATCTACATAAATGATCTCACACATTTTTAATCATAAATCATATTATTTATTTAGCATATTTTGGTAATTATGTTTTACTTTAATATTTGTTAGACATGTAAATTGATCAGCTGACTCATAGTCTGACCAGTAACCCAATGAGCGAGTCTTGATGGAGTCACTGTGTCGTGGGGAGCGCTACATTAGATATTTGACTCGTTAAGCTCACCCCCTCAGTCGTAGAAGCTGCAGTAGTAGGAGTAGTAGGGTTGAGGTTTTATCTAAAGAGATGAACAAGGTTCGATCTGGTTCAGGGATGATCGGGGCCAGGTTGACGGTCATCTTCCACGAGGTAAGAAGAATACCTAATCAATCATATAAAATCAGGTTCAGGGATGATCGGGGCCAGGTTGACAGTCATCTTCCACGAGGTAAGAAGAATACCTAATCAATCATATAAAAACCAGTTATCTCACATCAATGGTTTGAGAAGGCTGAGCTGAAGCTGCCAACCCTGAGACTTACCAACCATGCATGCATATGTGCACGCAAAAAAGCTGCCCAAACCAACCTAAGAGCAGGCAGGACAGGAACTCCACTTACCAAGTCGACTCCCACCTCCTTTCCGCTTGTCCCAGAGACTGGACCATAATGGCATGCAGCTCAGCCGCCCTCTCTCTCTCTCTCTCTCTCTCTCTTTCTGCCACTACCAATTCCTTCTGCTCCCAAGTGATGTCCAGAGTCCATCGGCAGCGGCGTCTCCGTGCCCAGGTATCCCCTGAGCTGATGGACTCACCCACATAAGCATTCCCCCATGTCCCACCGAAATCGTTAAGCCCAAAATTCTACCGGAGAAGGCATCGCTGCCTTATTGTAATGCCACTTGTTCTTGGGTAGTCGCCCTTCTCTCACATGCATCCAAGCAACCCTCCCATATCATATTTCTTTCTGAAGGAACAAGCTTTCTTTATTGACGGAAACATTTGCCTACTTCACTCCGCCCTCTCTTCATCTTTCTTCTGTCACTATTCTCTTCGTCTTCTGTGATAGTCCAGAGTACCAAAGGTGACGGCTTTTTGGTGGTTTATGAGAATGGGGGGCGGGGCAAAACCCTACTCCGACGTGTGGAAGCTGTGCCAGCCATGTTGGAAGCGGATTAACTTCGTTCCCCTGGTCGTCGTCGCCATGTTCTGCTCCGCCTCGTACTTGCTCGGCATCTGGCAGCACATCGGTGGCGCCACCGTACTTACCGCTATCTCCTGCGACAGGAAGGCCACCGACGCCTCGTTCGTCGTAGGCGGCGCGCCGACGCTGGACTTCGCCGCACACCACGCGGCCGACGAGTCCGACGCGGCGATACCGGCGGCGCGGGAGTTCACCGCCTGCGACGCAAAGTACTCCGAGTACACGCCCTGCGAGGACCGGGACCGGTCGCTGCGGTTCGACCGCGACCGGCTTATCTACCGGGAGCGGCACTGCCCGGAGAAGGGGGAGCTCCTCAAGTGCCTGGTCCCGGCGCCGGCGGGGTACAGGAACCCATTCCCGTGGCCGGCAAGCAGGGACGCCGCGTGGTTCGCGAACGTGCCGCACAATGAGCTCACGGTCGAGAAGGCGGTCCAAAACTGGATCCGGGTCGACAGGGACAAGTTCCTGTTCCCCGGCGGAGGAACCATGTTCCCGGACGGCGCCGACGCGTACATCGACGACATCGACCGGCTCATTCCGCTGCGTGATGGGTCCATCCGGACGGCCATAGACACCGGCTGCGGGGTGAGTGTTCCCAACTGCTCTCCTTCTTCCCATGTTCTCATCGGCTCTTCTTGCTTCAGTGACCAACGTGGCAGTGGGATCGGGGCAGTCAACCCGATTCCCCGCTAAAGCTTGGATTCTGAGCATAAAGAAGAGAAAAAGATCTCGTTTTGTGAGCGCGGAGTGGTATTTCTGTCGTCAATCAACCAGCAATTTGATTGATAATTTCATCCAATCTGTTCAATAAAAAAATATAGCACCAAAAATTACCTTCTTTTTACTTCAAAATTGGCGGGATTTCTGCTTCGTTTCCACTAGTGTTCTTCATCGGATTCACTCGTGAGTCAAAGTCAACTCTCGTTGTTGAGGTGCTGGTTCGCCGAGTCAACTCGGTGACTCGTACGTGCCATAGCAACTCACCAACCTTCTTCTCGGTAGCAATGGTGACTCTCGAGGCTGTGTCTCCTGACTTCGTTTATTTGGCCACGGCGAGTGCAGGTGGCGAGCTGGGGAGCTTACCTTCTATCGCGCAACATTCTAACGATGTCTTTTGCGCCGAGGGACTCCCACGAGGCCCAAGTCCAGTTCGCGCTGGAGCGCGGCGTCCCAGCCATGATCGGTGTGCTCGCCTCCAACCGCCTCCCCTACCCCTCCAGGGCGTTCGACATGGCCCATTGCTCTCGGTGCCTCATCCCATGGCATCTCTACGGTAACCATATCCACTCCTTTCACCTCTGAATCCTCCTTCTTTGCCATCTCGCTCTTAGAAGTTTGGCTAATATATGAAAACAGATGGGCAGTACTTGATCGAAGTCGACCGCGTCTTGCGACCTGGTGGCTACTGGATCCTGTCGGGACCGCCGATCAACTGGAAGCGGCAGTGGAAGGGATGGAAGAGAACCGAGGCGGACTTGAGCGCCGAGCAATCTGCCATCGAAGCCGTCGCCAGGAGCCTCTGCTGGAAGAAGCTGAGGGAGAAGGGCGACATTGCAGTTTGGCAGAAACCAACCAATCACATCCACTGCAAAGCCAGTAGGAAGGTCATCAAGTCACCGCAGTTCTGCCACGGTCAGAATCCTGACGCCGCTTGGTATACCAAGATGGAGACTTGCATCGCACCCCTGCCCGACGTGACCGGCATCAGAGAGACCGCCGGCGGGGAACTGAAGAAGTGGCCCGAGAGACTGACGGCGGTGCCACCAAGGATTGCTAGTGGAAGCCCGGATGGAGTTACACCAGAAACGTTTAGGCAAGACACCGAGCTATGGAAGAAGAGACTCGGGTACTACAGGACAGTGATCAACCAGCTGGGGCAGAAGGGTAGATATCGGAATCTGCTCGACATGAACGCTAAGTTTGGTGGGTTTGCTGCCGCCCTAATTGACGACCCAGTTTGGGTCATGAACGTCGTCCCGACCGCGGCCAACACCAACACACTCGGAGTCATCTACGAGCGCGGGCTGATCGGAACCTATCAGGACTGGTGAGTTCCAATCAAACCGAGTTGTCTACCGCCGGTCTCATGCGCTTCTGCTGCTACATGTCAATTCATTGCAGGTGCGAGGCAATGTCTACATACCCGAGGACATATGATCTCCTTCATGCAGATTGGGTGTTCAGTCTCTACAAGGGCAGGTACAGAGGATTATAAGTCTGCTCTTCTCAGTTCTACCTCTGCCTTGGTTCCAAGTTACAGTGCTGGTTTCTGCTGCACAGATGTGAAATGGAAGACATACTGTTGGAGATGGATCGAATCCTTAGGCCCGAGGGGACGGTGATCGTTAGGGACGACGTCGATGTCTTAATTAAGATCAAGAGCGTCACGGATGGAATGAGATGGGATAGCGAAATCGCCGATCACGAAGACGGCCCGCATCAGAGGGAGAAGCTTCTTGTGGTGGTGAAGACGTATTGGACAGCACCAGACCAAAACCAAGAACAGCCAAACGGATCTGCCTAGCATTCATTTTCTATATTTCTTTCGGCCTATAATTTTGTGGAGTTGACATTAACAGTAGAAAGTGAATCTCTAGCTTGCATATTCCATTTGATGAGGATTTGAGGTTTCTTTTCATCGTGCTATTCGATATTTCAGCAGCAATAATAGCAGAATTGTGGGTCTGCCAACTCTTCTAATCTCTCATCGCCATACATCTCTCTGTTGAAAGAAGGAAGAGTGGTAGAGAGTCTCTGTCTTCCTTGTTTTTGTCCTTGTTGGTGCAGGGTGGTCCTCATCCAGGACACAGAATAAAGTGAGTCTCGCCCATGGCTACAGACGCCATATTTGAATGGTCCAAGACACCTCGATTATTAGACAAGCTAACGTGTTTTTGATGTAACATGACAGACTTTGTTAGAGGTCAAACACTGAAGAGCTTGTGGGAAGTGACGATCTTGGGCCATGCAAACCATTTAGGTTAACTACAGCTGCCTGAGAGAGACTGTCATGTGCAACATCTGAGTGGAAGATGGAGCATTAGAGGAACTGTACTTTTAATGGTAGGGATTCTTCTGTCTTGGGGACAGCAATTGGCTCGCATACCTACGTTGCTTTTTGCCATGCAATGAACATGGAGGGCCACCAACACCTATTAAACTTAAACTAAACTTTTTACTGGTTGAATTTTAAATGAATTTTTGTTGATAGAGTGATCGATGTTTCCTTTGTGTTATGATTAATGATAACAAAACAAGTCATGTGTTATTGGCTTTTACAATGATTTGCCAGTGACATTCGTCCTGTCCAATTTAGGTGATGATTTTATAGCTAGTTTAATAAGACATTAAGATTGAAGGTGCTTTCAATGTTGTAATCTGAGGCAAAGCGTTTGGATGATTCATCTCCGCATAGATTTGGTGGTTGTAAATTTGAATGCAAAAGTGACTTGGATCCTACACTCATACACGACAATAAAAATGTCTGGGAATCCGTTGGAAGAATCGTAGACCATGAAAATTACATCAAATTCCATGTGATGGTAGAAACTTGTAGTCAATCACTCCAATATCCGGTAATCAATCTCGATCTGCTTGTAACCATGAACAAATAACTGGAACATAAGATAACACTCGAGTATAAATGTCTGATGAATTTTACAGAAGAAACAAAAAAAATCTAGGCATTACTCCCGTCGCAAAGTTCTTCTTTCTTCAGTTTCCGCAGTTCCATCGAGACGTCGGCACGCAACTCAGGTAGTGACACCAGTGGCAATGATCATTCCCATTCACTCCTCGGAATAGCATTACCAAGCCAACAATAAATCTGGCGAAAAATGTAAGAGCATCGATTCAGATGTGAGCATCAATCTACTTCCTCGGCAACAACTTTATATTTGTTCTCAAAAGAATCGCAATCATAAACAAAGTATTCAAGAAAGCATCAGTTGCTATAATTCTAACCTTGATTTCATGGATCAAATGGACAGTGAGTTGTAACCTAGATTTGCACATGCATTAACATGGGTAACTCATGGCTCCCAACATTTAATTTCAATACTCTTTTTATCATGTAACAGAATAAATTCAGATACGAGTGTTATATAAAATTCAAATGAACAGCAAAATCTATAGAACTAAAAAGAGTTATTGCATCCTTAATAACTTGCGAAAAATTCAATAACTATATAAATTCAATTTAAAACTCCTGCAGAGTTCTCAGTTCATTAAAATGCCATTTCTAAAATCATACATGATTTCTTGAAAGATCTCTATTGTTACAACGCTAACTCTAGCTCAAGGTTTGGAGACAGCTATCCATTTCTCTCCATCTGGCTCCTACTTTTCATGTTTATTTGTCCTCCGCTTTTGACATGAGCAGTCATCATGTCAATTTGCTTCTTGTAATTACAGGATGAGATAAGAAAATCAATTGACAGCAGAAGTTTGACCGTCACGTACATCAACCACACAAGCATCAAAGTCATCTGAGTTTCTCATTGCTTCTTTATTATCCATCTTTTCAAGGTCCAAAGCAATGAGATGTATACTTGCAGGCATTCCAATCAACCTAATTTTTAATGAAAGCCTAACTTTCTGCTAGAGTTAATGAGTTGCCTAATTAATTTTCGTGGCATTTTAGAGTGAATGTCAAATATTTTCTGAAAGCTGACCACCAACATGTAAACAACAATGCTTGACTGTCCTATGGTCATCCCCTGGTATTTCTAATTCTACCTGGTAGTGGCTACATATATATAACCAACTTGGTTTTTGCTAGGTTAAATCACTTTGTAAAATATCCAAATCAATAATACGTTAATCATGATCTTCAATGTTCCCAGTTCACTCTAGTTGATAACCTAAATCACTAGAATTTGGGTGTGTTTGTGTTCCAAGTAAACCACATTTCAACTCGAATAAGCCAGTGGTGAGTCACGGTTTTGCCGCAGAAACATCAAATTCATCCATTACAAGGAGTCTAATAATACAAGCAAAGTGCTGATTTTAATATCTCTAACATGCATGGGAAATTGAAATTAGCAAAGCTTTAGTGAGAAAATGCTTACCCAGCAACTAGCAAAACCAGTGCGATCACCCCTAATATGTACTGGTATGCCATATATTTCGATTTAACCCGATCAGCAGGAGGCAGATTGCGGCGTTCCAACCAACCCAACCGAGGTTGGAGCAACAACACAAAGCCAAGGAGAAAACCTGTCAAAAACCCTCCAATGTGTGCATAATTATCAACATGTGGTAATATTCCAACAGCCAAGTTGATCACAATGATGACCAATAGAGTTAACATAGCAGCAGCCTACAAAAGAAAATGCCGAGAAAAAACCATGTATCAGATAATTTGTAAAGAAAGAATAAGCCACAGACAATGTGAGCTAAATAAATCGACTTGTACCTTGTTTGTATAAATGGTCCAGTTTGTGATTAGTTCTGACAGCATTGCTCCAAGAAGTCCGAACAAAGCACCGGAGGCACCAACAGAAATACTATTCCTGATGAAAAGAGATGACAGAATGCTACCACCTAATCCAGAAAGTAGGTATATTATACCAATCCGGACTGCAAAAGACAGTCATAGAAGCTTTAGCCCGGGAATGATATCACAATATGAACTAAAAATATGAAACAAAAAAGATCTCACAATGCATAAAATACATCTAACATAGTGTTTACCAAATCCAAATTGCTGTTCAAGGCGAATCCCAATAAAAACCAGGCTTAGCATGTTTGCTAGAAGATGTATAAGACCAGCATGCAACCACATGCAAGTCACAAGCCGCCATCCTTGATGCTGGTGTACCACCTTGTCCCATTCTAGAGCACCCAACTTCTGCAATCTGGCAAGTCAAACGAGAAGCAGATCCAAGTGTGAGTGAACACTATACCATATATTTGCATGCCTAATTACACTAAGGCACTAAAGACATGCTCTTCATAAAAAATCAGCACCACTTGGAATACAAACATCCATGAAGAGCAAACATTGATGATAAGATTCTTTGGTTAATACTGATAGCAGCGAGAAAGAGAGATGGGGTTAGAAGGATGTAATGAGCCGATTTCATCTATAAATATGGAAGATTAGGAGGCTATCCAGTGGATGTCATGACCATCGCTTGTCAAGGATATCAATTTCAGCAGCCTGATTCTAGCCACAGCTAAATTGTTAGTCCTCTGCAAATATGGCCTGCCAAAATGTTCACATGAATCACTTGAAGCCTCTTTAGCTGTTGAACATGCATTCTAGACCAGAATTAGCAGCAGAAGAATGCAGCCATTGAAATAAGCAAGCAGCGGAGAGAATTTTGATCTCGTGCTACCACCCATTAAACAAGCAGATATTGAAAGCGAATTTGGTGGGAGTTAATAAGAAAATGGGCGAATATTTATTTCCCACAAGTTGTTGTCCATCCAAAAACAGGACATAATGAACACCAAAAAGCACCCAATTTCTACAGAAAAGAGAACACATGAGAAGGAATAAGGATCTTCAAAAAAAGGGGGAAAAAAAAAGTCAGCTTGACTTCAAATTTCTGTCTTTTTTCCTAAAAATTTGAAGAAATAGGATGCATTTATCTTGTTAAATTACCCTCTCCCTTCCAGATCTATCACGTATGTGCAGTCAGAGCCAAAAAAAATCGCAACTTTATCATCGATTGAACAAGAAAAGAGTGAGACGGGTACGGAAACAGGGACGTACGTCGAGGACGAGGGCCCGAAGAGGGGGTTCTCGCGGAGGGGCTGGAAGGAGAACCGGTGGAGGAATCCGGCGACACAGGAGCCGTAGATGTTCCGGTGGCCAGGGCAGTTGTTGATGTACATCGTGGCCACAAACATGGCGACGTTCGCCACCACGACCAGGGGCACGATCCACGACGTCCACTCCCGCTCCACCGACGCCCCGGGATCGTAGTAGAACTGCGACTGGTAGTTCCCCGGGATGCGGTAGCCGTTGGCCACGGCTCCCCTGGTCTTCCCACTTGCGGCGGCGGCGCCCCTCTCGACGTCGACGGTGGACATGGCCGGTGCCGCTCTAAGCCCTATCGATCCCACGGATCGGCTACGAGCAGTGACGGGAGAAGAGGGGCAAAGGGTTATAACGAGAGAACAAACCAGAAAAACAACAGCTTTGCTTGGAAGAAGAGTAACAGATCGACAGATTTGGCTCGGTTGAGGGCAGCGATGAGGGGGGGGCGAAGAACAGCAGAAGAGAAAGAGACGGTGGTGTGCTAGTTTTCTCCACAGCCTCTACCAAGACAAGACTTGACTTGGAATTGGGTTTGTGTCTTAAAGAGTCTTTATAGGTAAGTTTGTGTATGTAGCATGTTCTGTTTCCTTGTTCACAGTGTACAGCAAAACTTGCATTTTTGATCTGCTTTAACATTTAGCTTCCTTTACAGGCAATACTACCTTTTCAGAGGAATGACACTTTTTAGGCCCAAATGATGTCGAACATAAGCCCATATTAATCGGAGGAAAGAAGGAAGAAGAAGATGCCTGCAAACCGCGTACTGTACGCTGTAACTCGTGGCGTCGAAGCTGCGGGTTTTGACACCCTGTCATCTCTTCCTTCCTCGAAAGAAAAGCCACACACTTGTAC